ATTTTTAAACTATACGTAGAGACGGTTTCCGAGGTCGAATTACTATAGGAGGTCTTAATTAAAATAATTACCGATAGTTTTATTACTAAGATAGCTTCTATTCCGCTAGAATATTTTATTCCCTAACAATCGAGCCGGATAAGACGATCGCCTAAACGATACGATTTTCTTATAGAACTTACCGAGACTATATCGATTCCGAAAACAAAACCGAAATAAATAAAATAACTAAAGCGAATTATTATAAAGCTAGATATTCTATAGAGTAATAAAAATACTAATAAAGGATTAGATAATAATAGTAATTAAGGTAGGGGAGACTTATAAAGTCGATAGTTATTACGAAATAGAGTACTCCTTTTATTTATAATAGTAAGCCTTTATATATTAAAGACGTTATTATTCCTTAGTCTTATAATAAGGCGATAAATTCTTAATTTTTAGACCGCTAGTAAGTAGCGATAGAAGATTAATTTAACGATATTTATATAAAAAGGACTTTTAATATTATTTATAAGCCGCTAAAAATAGTATCTCTACCGAGTTAATAGGTTTTTAATCTTAAAATAATAAAAGATAATCTTATTTATAGTTTTAAAGCGCGCTAGGTAATTTATAATAACTACTAGTAAAAGAAGGAGGATTTAATCTTTTATACTCCGGTTATTTAGAATATTCTTATAAAGATTATCTTTATACTTATTATATAAAGAGGTTATAAATAGTATTAGTTTAATATAGTAGTTACGTATTTTAATACTTCTTATAAAGATTAAGAGATAGTTTATATCGTTTAACTAGTAGGTTTTAAATACTTTAAACCTAATATCGGAAGTAAAGATTAGGTTTATTAATTATAGTAGATATTATTTAGCCTTCGTAATTCGGTAACTCTATAGAATAAAGAACTTAATAAAAGACTAATTAAGATTAGATTTTATACTCTTAATAATAATCTATATATCTACGTTAAGATATATAATAGTTTAACGTAGTTTCTTCTTATTTATATTAATAATTTTATTAGTATAGCTCCGACTAATAGAGAGATTAAGATAATTTTTTAGTAGGTAAAGGGTTAATTCGAGATTAAGGATATAGAAGAACTATCTTATTTTCTTAGTAGTACCGTTATCTAGGATTATAATAAAAGAATAATTCGGATATTATAATAGATATACTATCTAGAAGTACTTCGCTTAGTAGAAATATAAATATATTCTCTAATTTTAATTCCGCTTTCTCTAAATTATAAATAGAATAATAGTAATAAGAATCCTAACGCTATTCTAGATTAAAAAGGATATACTTTATTCCGGTCTCTAGTCGGTAGGCTTAACTAGCTAGTAGTTAAAACTAAGCCTAATATTAAATTTAGTATTATAAAGTTATAATATCGTTCTACTTCTCTAACTATTAATAATTTATAGGTAATCCGTACTATTTATAGATATCTTAGTAATATAATATACTTTAGTATAATACTAGGAGGGGTAGACGATACCTCGTTCTTTATATATACTAATACTTCGTATAATAATTAGTATAATTTAAAATCGATAGAGGGTACTATTTAGTTTTTCGGTAGCGTACCTATTATTTAGTACTTAAAGAAATAGAGTATTATAACTCTATCGTCGATAACTATAAAGTAGTATACTCTAGATCGACCTACTAGGGATACTTAGTAGATTTTAAAGATTACTAAGATACTTAATCTTCCTAAGGCGGGTAATCTAATTATTATTTTAATAGATAATATTAATACTTAGTTACTAATAAGTAAGAAATCGTATAAGAATAGTATACGTTAGCTTAATATAAAGTAGTTTTTCGTTAAAGACGCTATTTTCTAGAAGAAGATCGATTTATAGCGCGTTAAGACGAAGAGTAACGTCGCCGACGGGTTTATAAAAGCGCTTAATAAAGAAGTATATATAAAGTTTATCTAGATATTAGGTCTTAATTAATCTATATACTATTTTTATAGGTAGATATAGTTTTACGATATATAGGAAATAGTAGAAAATAAGAAAACAAAATAGAGAGTTTTTATTAGTAGAGACAAAGAGATATAGTAATAGTCTTCGTCCTAAAGAGGGGTGTTAGAGTCACGTAACGGCTATATAGGGCCGTAGGTGATCCTGATCTATAGAACTTAGGATATTGTTAGACAGTAGCTAGTTTTTCTTCTCTTCTTTTCTTTCTCTCTAGAGTCTACAAAATCTAATCCTTTAAGGTTAACATTCATTCCTATATAGCCTATATTCCATCTGACAGTTTCCCTATCTTTTCTTATCCTAATAATAATAATTTAAGGAGTCCTTCTTTAGCCTCTAGTATATAAAATAGATATAGTAAAGCGTAGATACTAGCTTTAATATTTTATCTTAGTTTATAGATAAAACGCTATTATTAGTAGTAATTATAATATCTTAGAGAGGTTTTTATAGTTTTATAAATAGGATCTAGGCTCTTTATTCCTCGTTCTAGTTTAGGAGGTAATTCTCTAGCGATTCGAGGTAATTTTTAAAATTACGAGGGTCCTAGTAGGGTTTTATTATAGCCTTCTAAAACTAAACGAGGATATCGGTAATAATATTATAGGAGTTCTTTAGAAGTATCTTCGTCTATTCTTTAAATATATCCTAATCCGATACCTCTTTAGGATATTTCTATTTATAAAATATCTATTTTTCTTTATAGGAGGTATATAGATAATTTATAATAGCGAGGATTTTTTAGATTCCTAAGATATATTTTTTCGGAGCTCTTTTAAAGAGCGCTTTAAAGTTATTTAGCTAATCCTCTCTCTATTTTATACCGAAATCTAGTTTAAATCGGCTAATATCTCTTTTAATCTCTTCTTTTTAGGAAGGTTCGCTTTCTATAGATAAATCGCGGTAGTTTTAAGACCTTCTTATTATTTAACCGAAATCCCGAAGTTTCTCTTTATTTTCTATAACCGCTTTTTAGGCCGTAAGAATATATTCTTATAATACTACTCTAGCTTTATATTCTATAACCTTTTCTTCTAAGCTTCGAAGGGTTTCGTCGGCAATATAAGAGCTTTCTACCGCTATTTCGGTAGTTTTTTTAGGTAGGTCCTAAGTTAGTATTTCCTTCTATTCTTCCGTAGGTAGAAGTATTCCCGATTCGCTACCGGTTTAGGTAGGATACTCTAGCGCCTCGGTATTATTACGCGAGCTACTACGGGTAGTTAGGGGAGCTATTATATCTTAGGTAGTTAAAGAAGAAGAATTAGAATTATAAGAATTTACTATTTTTAGGTATAAGGCCTATCAACCGGGTAAGATACGTTAGCTTAGGAGAAGGAAATAAGGGTATATTGGGCTATATATACTAAGACTAATTCTTGCTAGAATCCAGGGGTCCCGGGGGACCCAAGATTAAAAGGAAATATACGTGCCAAGGCTCGACACCGATCAGGTGACGAACCCCGTACGATTCACACACGTGTCAGAAACTTCTATGAATACATGTGTCGCCTAAGTTCCTGTTTCACCTTTGAAAGGACCTTTATCCTTTACACTTTAACATTAAGAACTATTAAATCATCCTTTAGATCTAGGGGTATTTATCCCCTAGATCTAGAGGCTATTCTTAGTCCTTTACGTTAAAGAGATCTTAATACCGAGGCCGAGGGTAGTAAAATCCTCTATTTTTATACCCCCTCCCCCCCCGAGATCCTAAGCTTAGTCACTAATTCACCCCTAGATATAATTAAGCGGGTTAATAGGCTTAATACTAAGCTTATTACCGATATAGATTATATAGAGTATATTTCTTAAAAGGCTAAGGGTTATATCTAGCGTAGTATAGATACAAATACCCTTTTGGTCTAAGAGCTTAGTCTAGTAAAGGCCTCTTTAAAGAAGGCTTAGTAGTATAAAGTTGCCGCTACTACCCTAAGAAACCGGAAATCAATTCTTAGAACTAGGCGTACCGTGCTTAGCCCTACTAGTACAAACCGAATGATGAAGAAAAGGTAGGAATCGGATTCTAAGAAGCTCGATCGGTAGTAAGCAAAGTATACTAAGGTTTTAGAAGTTGAAGAATAGGCTTAAAAAGAGAGGGATTTGGCCGAAGATAAACGTAAAGCTGCAATGGTAGCTAGGTATAGTAATGGTCCAAATTGGTATATAAACAGCAGTGGGAGTTATTTATAAATAGTGTTTTAGTGCATTGAAATTGAGAAATTTGCTATTTTGTGGGAATTTGCTATCTTGTGGGGCCCACCAACACCGGGTAGGTGGTGGTGGGCCGTGCCACGATTATACTAGTGAACTACATGTATAGATTCAACATGGTGCTTGTGAAGTGAGAGTGGATCGAAATTACTGCCTGGCAATATAAACCAATGAGAGAGTTATGTTTGAGTGGTCAATTCAGTCACCCGTATGCGAGCTCCGACGATCCCAACCATTTCTGGGACAAACGTACTAAGACATTGAGCCACTTAACTAGTTAGTTAACTAGTTAGTGAAGAGGGGAACACTCAAGGCAGTCCATTCAGCACTCGTAGTTCAGTCTCATGCCCGGCTGAGTATACAAAGGAACCCAGGCACGGTGCCCAAGAAGTCAATTCAGAGAGTTGTAGAGGTGTGTTTATTCAATCTGTAACTATCTAGTTAGTTACCTGTATCCTTCCAGGCTTACATAGCATGAATACACGAACGCTTAGTAAAGAAGGGGCAGGCAAGGTCAATGCGTAGTGGAGGGGAAGGTCCCCCCACTACAATAGTCATTATTGACTTCTCTTGTGTCATTTGTTCTATATTTAAACGGATCGAATCCATCTCTAAGGAGGTTGATCGTATTAATTTCTGCCTAGGAATTTTAACGCTAGTAGTAAGTTAGTCCTAATGTAGTAATGTTGTTTTAAATGGTGGTTTCAAGTGGAAAAAAAGACCACTGCTGAATACCACTCTGACTTGGGATAGACTAGCTACGGCGGCTGTCATCTTGGTTTCAAACAACTAAACACAACCAGTTTTGACGACTTCACTAATAGCATGCACCACATAGTCGATGTTACCCTCATTCAGTCCACACACACTCATCCGACCCGAGGGCAGCAGATAGACATGAAAATCCTTTTGAAGTCGAGACACCTGCTTCTCCGTCAACCCCGTGTAGCTGAACATCCCAATTTGCTTCTCAACATGTGACCAATCCTCCAGCGTCTCCTTCTCCAGCCGGTGTCTCAGCAAACCCCTCATCCTCTGGATACGTGAGCTCATTGTATCCAAGTCTGTTTTCCATTGAGCCCTCAGACCCTGATCCCCAAGGACAGTCTCAACAATACTCGCCCCAAAGCGCGGTGGATTAGAATACTCCGCTCTCGAAATCAACATCAGTTCAGATAGCGCACCCTTTGCCGAAAGATGCCGCGGTACAACCAGATGTAGTGCACCCACACGTTCGCCGTATAAACCAAAGTTCTTCGAGAACGACTGAGCAATACATAGGCCGGGATGCGTCTTGGACGCGAGGACATTCTCTACAAAATAACGAACCGCCCACGCATCGCCGTCAACATCGCCCGTCGCGAAGCCCTGGTATGCACTGTCGAAGACGGTGAAGACTTTCCTCCGCTGGACGAGATCAGAGACCTCTATCCACTGGGCCCTTGATAAGTCCACGCCGGTGGGATTGTGCGCGCAGGCTTGCAGGATGACGACGTCATTGGGTTCGGCATGGTTCAAGGTATCTAGCATCCCGGTTATATCTACTTCCCTTGTGTCTAGAGAGTAGTACGGGTACTCTACAACCGGAACCCCGGTCATCTCCCAGATAGACTTGTGATTAACCCATGTTGGGGAGGGGATGAAGACGCGATTAGGGCGGAGGTGACGGGCCAGGAATGTGGCTGCGAGATGGTTTGCGCCTGTTCCGGAAACCGTTTGCATTGAGACTGCGCTGTCTTGGAGGTTGGATGCAATGGGGCCGAGGATGAGGTCCTTTGCCAGCTTGGTGAAGGTTGGGGAGCCTGCTATGCCCAGGTATTCGTGGGTGGTTTCGCTAAGGCGTTGCTTTGCCTATTTGCATCGTTAATGGCTGTTTTACTCCACAGAGCCATTTTGGACGTACCTCTTTGACGCTTGGCAGAACCCAAGGTTTTCCATTCTCGTTGCGATATGCTCCGGCGATTAATGATACCTTGTTTGGGTGAGGGTCTGCTTCGAAGTCGGCCATCAGACCGAACGCAATGTCCGCGGGGGCAATCTGCAAGTCAAGATATTGCTTTGCCATTTTTGAGTTTGGTCTTTGAAGCCGGTGGTCCCTGTTAACTGTGGGGTTGACTGGTTACACTCTAGAGCCGAAAAGTGCCTTGGTACTTGTATGAACCTGGAGAGGATAATCTATTAAAAATAATGATATTTGGACATTAATACCTGGGCAATGATTATAACGTTCAGTGCGAAACGGCATAGTCACCAGTTGCCGAGTCATCAGGTCGGGATGGACTTCATCACTGTCGACCAGCTTTGTCGAGAGAAATTGACGGAACAATAGAGGGGCAAATGTCGGAAAGTTCTCCTTACACCGATTTGGGTGTTCAATGTCCATATTACGTACATGCCTATAGACGAAGCTGATATCCAAATCGGTGAAATAGTGTCTTGCCGACATCCATGAGTGAACGCTCAATACTTCGCCTTTGAAAATTAATATAAGCCACTTACCTTCGACGATTGTTCTATATTTCTATTCTTCACTCAATTACCCCAGTTGGCACAATGAACCAGACCAGAATTTTGGACCGACTTTCGGCGCTCGACACCAATACAGTGTCTGATGCCTTGGACTTTCTCGGTCTCAAAGGAGCCACATACGGCTTACAACCACTCTGGGACTGTCCAAAGATTGTCGGACGCGCCAGTACAGTTAAACTGGGCCCGAAGACTGATGCTGCTCCCACAGCTCATCTACTCACCCCGGTCATAGATGCGGTAACTACGGATGATCGCATTCTCGTCATCTCCGGCGGCACCGAAGGCATCTCATGCTGGGGTGATATCATCGCCAATGCCTCGAAAGTAAGGGGCATCCGTGGAACCATCATCGACGGCATGAGTCGTGACATCGACGGCAGCCGTGACGTTAGCTATCCCCTTTACGGCCGTGGCGTGACTATGATCAGCGCGCGCAACCGCCTAGTCCAGGTTGATTCCGGCACGCCATTGCAGATGCGAGGCGTTACCGTCCACCAGGACGACTATGTGATTGCCGATCGCTGCGGGACAGTGTTCGTCCCCGCTAAGAGCATCGAAGAGGTCCTAGAATATGGCGAGCGGATCGATCGTCGTCAGACACTTATGGTTCAGGCTGTTCGAGCCGGTCAACCAGTGTCTGAGGTTATGCACGACACGCAATTCGAAGCTATTCGCCAATCCGAAGCCATTCGCGAGGGTACATCGTTACCGACAGTCGCGGCATCCGCGCCAGCCTTCAAAGAAAACCCAAAGAAAACGAGCCCAACGGACCAAGAGTTGGTAGCGCTGTTTGCCGATTTAGACACCCCTGCGGTCTCTGACGCACTTGACAAACTTGGAATCTCTGGACAGGTGTTTGGTATTATGCCTTTGGCAAATTCCAACAAAATTACCGTCGGGCCAGCCTTCACTGTACGTTACGTACCCGCCAGCGACCCGCCAGGAAGTGTTGGTGATTTCATCGACGATGTTGCCGTAGGCGATGTCGTAGTTATCGACAATGGTGGTCGCACGGATTGTACCGTTTGGGGCGATATCATGACTCAATACGCTGGCTTGCAGGGTATTGCCGGATCAGTTATTGACGGTGTATGTCGAGATGTGAACCGTGCGATCAACGACGACTACCCGCTCTTTACTGCTGGGCGTTGGATGCGAACCGGAAAGGATCGGGTTCAAGTGGGAGGTGTTAACGAGTCGATTGGTATCGGCAACGTTCGTGTCGAGCCTCGCGATATTATTGTTGCCGATGCAAATGGTGTCGTTGTTGTTCCTCGAGGTCGAGCACGCGAGGTGTCCGAAGTAGCGCGGAAGGTTGAGGAAAGCGAAGCTGGTATCCGGGAAATGATCGCTGGCGGAGCCACAATCGCTGAGGCGCGACAGCAGCTCGGTTATCACACGCTACAGCGTAAGGAATGAGGAGTAGCTGAAAATGTCATCAGAAGCCTGTCTTTCATTCTTTGTTGGGGATATCTGATAAACGTTCTAAGGGTGTATTATGTTTGCTACTTACATGAAACACCTCTACTCGTTCAATTAAAAAGTAGTCTATAGTTATAACTTTGTCATGTAGGTATATTGTGATATATCAAAGGTATTCACCAGTTGAGCACTTTATGCTGCCCATACTAACCTAAAATGTTTGTCTTATGCTAGTTATTGATTCTACATGTAAGCACTTTAACCATTGAGATAGACACACATCAAGGTTCCCTCGTCTAGCATATAATCTATCATGAGCGCGCAATTTCTAGCTCAGCTGTGTACCAATTTTGCATCGCCCGAACATCGTAACTCATCGCTATAGTATCGAACACTTTCAGATGTTCCTTACACAAAGTCCCGTTGTTTGACAATCGACAGACCCATTTGCCATGTTTTCTAGCTGCTGCGACGATCTTTTCGATTGCGTCGACAAACTCGGGCTCGTCCCCTTTCCCAGGGAGATACCCAAGGACCGATAGAGCAAGGTCGTTTGGCCCAATAAAGATCATATCTTGACTAGATTAGCGAAACCATTCTTAGGATTGGAGTCAGTCACTTACCGACACCCGGTACAGCACAGATAGCGTCAACATTCTCGACTCCCGCCTTTGATTCAATTTGAAGACATATGATAATCGTTTCATTCGCTGATTTCATATATGTCGGAATATCCGTATCGTGAGCGATAGCTGGAAATGCTGAACCTTGCCCTCGAAGCCCCTGTGGGGGGAATTTTGAATGAGACACAATGGTCCTGGCTTCTTCCGCTGTGTTGATTTGAGGTACAACGATACCGCTGGTCACATGTTTAGTGGGAGAATGGTAGATTAGGTGTTGTCACTCACTGTGCACCAGCATCTAGGGCTCGTTTAATCAAATCTACATGGGTCATTCTCAGACGAACAAGCGGCGACACCCCCAGCGCAGCAATGGCGGCAGTCGAGCTGTGCATGGAATCATCGCTAATATATCCATGCTCACAATCGATAATAATGCCCTTTATGATCGTCAGTGGGGAACGTTCATCTGTGGAGGAGAAATGCTAACATCGACGCCGGTCTGAGCCACAACCTGGGCTGTGCGGAAGGACGGAAGCCCCAAAAAGGTCATAATAGGTTTTGAGCCAGCTCGTAGAGCATTAAGGAGGCGTAGCCGAGGGTTTTGGATTAAGGTCGTCATGACCGATGGATATGACATCTTGGTTGAGAGTATTTCTCGATAGTCCTGCCAATGCCCATAAAACCACTGTCTTGGGGTCGTCCGAAGACAGTGTTGATGCAGAAAGAAAGAATCAGTACAGGTGTATAGAGAACGACATGGAAATTATCTGTTGTTCGGTATCGGGAAATCAAATTTATCCCGAGCGCATATTAAGGCTAACGGCGAAAATAAAGATACAACCGAGCACGATAATATCCTATATGTCAATCCACTGGAAATCCCTAGCAGGCCCCGCAAAAATATTTCGGAATCCAGTAGCAACCCTATCAGTTGTCGCTTTCAAGCCAAACTCACCATTCTCGGCGACACGGCCGCTATACCGAGCCCGCCTATCAACCAAGAAGTTTATCAGGTCGATACTTCTATCAACGCGCTCAGTCTAGCATCCAGATCTGCGTCTCGGTCCGAAGAAAACCAGTGGAGAGTGCAATTGTGGTATAGACACACCTTTATCAATACTCTACCCTCCCCAATCTTGCTGCTACCAAGGGTTCAAACATGATGGGCGGCCACCATCCCTGCCTTTGTCTAGGCTACGAACAACAACCTAAACAACGGCTCATAGTGTCACAAGCCAGGTCTTCAATCAAAGAAGGAGTGCTATTCAACTAAAATACTAAATAGAGGGAAAAGAAGGAAGCAGAAAATGGAGGGATATCTAGGTAATCTGTGGGAATAAATACGGCGTCTTTTCCACTAGACCATAACAAAAACCTCGGTTCCTGTTTAGGGCCTAGGGAGGCCATATCCCAGTCTGACATAATCTCCTGGGAAGGAGGTAGCGGACCCCACTATGCAAACCATGCAAACAACATGCCCGTCCACGGGCCACGGACCCGCAATCTGTGGGCTAAGGTTCTAAGGTTGGAATCCACCTGGAAACCTTAGAAGATCTTGGAAACAAACAACCTCGGAAGTTTGGGAACATCCCAGTAGCATATGGTAGTACGTGCCAATACAGATCACACGTAGAGCAGAAACAAACATTGGAAGTCACAGTGGCTGCTTGGCAAAATGATTGGATCTAGACGGATTACACCGGTCGGGTTCGGGGCCGGGCAGCTGCGCATGCTTGTCTATACTCTGTACAGAGTACGGAGTATATTAGACTGGAATAGGAAATAGGGGGTGGCTGGATTACTACTAGTAGTCTAGCTAAATGCTACCTCAGCCCTAAGCTAGGATTTTAGGGACGGAACCGACGTTACGAGTTTTCCTATCGTATCTGTATATAGCGAGTGTGGTTCTGGGACGTGTGTATCCTGGTATTTTTCGACCTTGATACGGATTCACTTTTTGCAAATTAATATTTAGGGGATCTCAAAATAGTGAAAGTAGCAAAATTAAAAATTATATAAAATTGCTATCTTCAAGGTGTACACTACACCTCTAGTACCATACTAGAATATAGAGTAGCTTATGTGGGTGAAATAGTATGGTCCTAGGATTCTAATTGACTAGAGTAGTTCCGATGTCTGCGTGTTGGAGCGTAAAATACCTGTATGCACTAGTATGTACCGTTCGCATAACAAAAACATTGACCCCCCTCCGCAAGAAACACACGAAAGAAACTAATCCAGGAGATGCATATCTCCTATGGCCCTAATTTTACAGGCTCCGCGCTTCAGCATGGCTCTGGTTTGCGTCAAAGGTGAAACTTATTCTAATTAAAATCCCACTGGGGTCCAATTTTACCAGCTCGAGCTGCTGCTGCTAGCAGCGTGCGGATGCTTTAATAGTACATCTAGTTCGCACCGGCACATTTCCCATTTTTCCTCCCGTCTCTTTCGCCATGTATGCCTTCCCCTTTCACCCTAAGGAATCCATTTTATCCCCACCTGCAGCCCTAAGTAGCTTCTCTCGTCCAATTACCTCTTGTCTGCCATGTCGTAGTCGCAAGGTCAAATGTGACCGCCGACAACCGCAATGTTTGGTGTGTGAGCGAGGCGAATATGCCTGTTCTTACGTGTCGAAGCCCCAGTCGCCGGGGCTGGCCTCAGAGTCGGGCCGGATCACCAAACTAAGCAGTGCCCCTAAGATCTCTTCATCCACGCTAGCGCGAATCAATCCTGGTCTTCAGCGTCTTGGTGACTTCATGGCACAAGCGAAAGCATATGAGGCACCGGAGTATAGTCCCTCGTCGCTGGACTCATTCACACCTGCACAATCGACACCCGCCCCTCATAATGCATCACCTCCACGGCCGCAATCGCAAGAAGATGCACTGATTCTCGATAATGGAGTCCCCCACTTCATCTCCGGCAAACATTGGGCCTGGATGGCTGCAGAGGTGTGCTCTCCGTTGTTCTTGAAGCTTATGCTTATGCCAAGGCAAAGCGGTACTAACTAAGCCTCTGCTCCCTTAGCTCCAAGGCATCCAATCGGTTATTGCAGAATCTCAGAATTCCCCCCGGAACAGGCGCTCGAAGATGTTATCTGGGACGCGGATTCCCCTATAGCTAATGGTGCTACCTTCTGGCCCGATACACGAGAGGATTGTTATTTGCTCCTGAATGTTTTCCTGGCTAATGTCGACCCGATTCACCGAATTGTCCATCGGCCGAGTTTGGGCCGTCGGTTTGACACATTTGTTCGCACCCATTACCTTTTAGAGAACGATCACATCCCTATCATGACGGGGACTAGTAGCAATATGATTTTCCACCCGAATAACATGGACCCATTCGAGCCGCTGGCCATGTCCATCTTCTATGCGGCCGTTAACAGTATGAAGGATACCGACATGGTCACCGCGTTCGGCACTAATAGGTCTTACCTCCTGAATCGATACCGCACGGGAACGGAAGTGCATCTGAAACGGCAGAAATTTATGACCTCAAGGAGCTTTGAGGTTTTGCAGGCATTTGTGATTTTTCTGGTAAGTCTCAGGGAAAGAGGAGGGACAGTTCCTATATTGAGCTAAACAATGTTTATACACTAAAGACCGCGCAATATCGGGAAGATGACCTGGGAAAGGTATGGCCGCTGACTGGACTGGCTATTCGGATGGCGACAGTCCACGGACTCCACCGGGACCCTTTAGCCCTACCGCTGGGCACGATGGATGTTATACAGGTGGAGCTGCGCCGCCGCCTATGGGCGCAAATCTGCTACTTGGATTTTCGCGCAGCGGAGGATCATGGGTTTGCACCTTCGATTCACGGGTCGGACTTCGATACACGTCGACCTGTCAGCCTAGATGACGTCGATCTGGTCGAAGGGGTGGCGCCCTCGGTTAGACTCTCGGATGTCCCTAAATTCACTGACATGACCATATATCTTCTTCGGACCACCGCAGTCCAGTATTACGGGCGCATTATTCAGGTGACGCATGCTTCGCGAAAGGGACTACGCACCAACCCCCGCGGTGTGGGCGAGGCCGAAGCATTAACGGAGCTACTAGGCCTGTTCAACACTGCTGAGACTATCGCCAGCGAGTTTGAGAAGGATCTGGACGATCTCGTTCGATACTGTGATAAGAGGGTGAGTATGCAGTCAATGGCCTTAGACTTGAAAAACCACTTGAAATCCAAATTCTGGGTCATGTTCTGGATTCAAATCCCCCGACAAGATCGTGAGAAGGTCATCAGTCCCGCTATGAGAAGAAAGTTAGCCCTCCGACCTCCCCCAAACCAGGGAAAGTAAATATGTTTTCACTGACAGTATCAAACGTCAAGTATATTCGTCGATGCCGCCACAGCCGTCGAGAACTGGTGTACAATCGCCTCCAGCAAGGCCTGTGAACCCTTCCAATGGCATATATTCTCCCACGCCGGCTTCTACTTGATTCTCTACGTACTCTCCGAACTCCGCAGTCCCGGCTTCCAATCCCCGGAGTGGGCCGATCTCTGTCAGCGAGGCCTCCAATTAGCGAACGCCATCTACGAGATTCGGGGTCAGCATACCACCGGTGCATGGCCCGCAATTATTTGGTTGGTGAATCGGATTCGATTCCAGCAGGGCCTCGGTTCTGGTATCGCTAGCAACCAGCCAACTGGGACTGGTTTATCTGAGAACAATTCTCCCATGTCGAAGGAGTCGTTTCCTGCTGCTCCTCCAGGCTCGGCTGTGATAGGCCTTGAGACGACGGATTTCATGGGTCTGGTGAATCTGGAGGAGTTCGATTTTGCGGACTTCGCCAGTTTGGGTCCGATGGGGTACCATGGGTTGTCACAGTGACTGATTGCTGGGCTTGATGGATCGGCCGATTTAATTACGTTCATGCGGAGCATCCTTTGTGGGATATGGTGGAAGAGTTTCTCATTTCTCTTTCTGGGCGAAGTGTTGGAGAAGGGTGGAGCGCGGATCGATTGAGTGTATAGTTTAGATCGTATATATAAACCCTGCACTATGTCATTTGGATATACGCTAGCGTTATATGCTGATTAAGAGCGGCTCTATGAATCGAGGTGTCCCAGTTTAGTAGTCGAAGCGACAACACGCAATGTGGAGAATAGGAAAACTGGGACATTCATCGGGACAGCGGTGGGAAAAGGAGACGTGTATTCATCACCTACCGTCGTAGGGCACATTGTCTAGCTTGCCAAGGGGAACTATTCTCGGTGAATAAACTCGGCGCCGCGACCATTGCAGGATTGACAAACTGCCTTGTGCTCCGAAATAAGCCCTGCGCAGAAGTGTCTATAGTAGATCTTCGCTCACCATTCGTTGTGACAGGAGCATCAACGGCGTCAAGACTTCCCTCGATTTGCATCTCTCGTACCTCATGGCTTTCCTCACGGTTCTCCCAGTAGTGAGCCATCCCCCACTACAATGGCTCGTCCTGGGAATCTCCTTGCCTCTCGTGATTGCATATTTCTTCGGCGATCGCATCGTCACGTTTTACCTGAATGTGAGTTCTTCGCCTGCCCCTGAACGAGGAAGAAGAAGATGGGATCATAGCATTAACCGAGCAGATAGTGCATATATATCGGCATGTCCCCTGTAAAACCCGTCAACGGGGAAAAGCAGCAGATGTCCGGTCCTGACTATGTTCTACCGCAAGGCCAGGGAAGGGTCAAGATCATTGCCCCGGCTCAGATGAGTGCCAAATGGCGTGCAAAATACGGATCCATTTATCGAGTCTGGAACGGCACGTGGCCTGAAATGTGCGTTTCTCCCATACCCACGTTGAAGACCTGATATGCTACTGATACTTCATGCCTGCAGCGTCATTACTGATCCCAAAGATGTAGAGGCTTGGTTTTCCGGGAAAGGAGAGCACAGCAAGTTTTCCTATGAGCCTTCCGGAGCCCTGTTTAATTACGCCATGGGTCATGCTGTCGGGCTGGTCAATGGCCAAGATTGGAAGGTTTTGCGCAAGTTGCTGGATCCCTACGTCAACTTCTCGAGCTCGGCAAGGCTTACCCCAATGGTCTTGGAACGGGCAATCGAGCATGTGCAAACACTCCGCACACGGACCCTTACTCCCACCAAGGAAGGGGAGACTATCGTCAATACGTACCGAGCCGTGCAGCCGTACCCGTTTTTTACTCAATTGGAGACTTTCTATGGACTCTTGACTGATACCCAGAAAGATGAAGTCTGGTCGATCGGTCAGATCTTTCTTACCCTCTCTACCTGGACCGTGGAGCAAGGCCTCACACGCAGTCGAGTCTTGAAGTATATGTACTCATGGGACTCGTGGAAGCTGATCCGGGAATTCGATCGACGATGGCGCATATTCAACCGGGGGATCGCCAAGCAGAAGGCGACAGAAATTGATCTGCCGATTGTCAAGCTGTGGCAGAACATCCAAAACGGTGAGATGACGGAGGACCAGCTGATTCACACCTTTACAGAGTCGATCTTTGCGAACCTGGATGTCACAACTTCTGTCATCACGGGTTGCATTCTGCATATTGCCAAGGATAAGCGGGTCCAGAAGAAGCTTCAAAAAGAAATCGACGACCACAAGGATAATCTAGCAGACTATGTCAAGCGGCAGGATACTTTTATGCACTGTTGTTTCCTCGAGTCGATCCGGCTGGAGCCGATTCCCGGTGAGCTTTTTGTCCTTCACCCATTTCCGCGTAATTGCTTTGGAATGACTGGATTAACATGGTCGATGTAGCCTTTTCCCTTGCAGGTCGATGTTCTGAAGACAAAGTGTTAGGAGGGTATCATATACCCGCCAATGTAAGCGACATCTTCTTCCTTCCTCATCCCCGTTGCTTCCCCTCACACGAACTAACCCACGATTGCACGCAGACCAGCGTCGTCATCGATGCACACGCCATTAATATCCACAACCCCTACTGGGGCCCCGAAACAAAGGAATACCGACCGGAGCGCTTTGACGGCCTCAACGTGAGGGACATGAAGTACAACCTATCGACTTTCGGATATGGCTCCCGCAAGTGTCTTGGTGTCCACCTGGGCGGGAAGATGGTTCGTAGCATCCTGGCTGCGTTGTTCGGACAGTATGACGTGGATCTGGAGGGCCAGATCAAGGACGGGGATGATGAGTTTAAGACGGATAAGACGAGCTTCTTTGCCCTCTATCTTGATAATATTGAAATGACACCGAGAGACCTATGATCACGGGGTGTGCGATGGATGGGTCGTTGCGTGGATTTAGTAGCTAAAAGTCAGTACCTGTGTCGACGGGTGAGGTTTCGCAAGCTAGTTTAGCGGACTGCCTTAACCCCTATCGAACATTTGTGGTCAAAGATTAAGTGAATGTTTAAAGATAAACCCTGCGTAGAACATATAATGGTGAATTTTTGAATAGCATCATGAATTAGCTGGAATAACTCCGTACAATTAGAATATCGTAGTTCGCTCGTGGATGAGGATTCATACTCTACGGAGTACCCGTAAATTGTACCTTGATCGTGATCTATATTCCAGTAGTAATTTCATCCTGCTTTTTGCGCTGTCACTTCGGATCTGCATTTCTCGTACGAGATAGGGTATGGGTATGGGTCATTTTCAGGTAGATCTAGGTGCCTCTGATTATTTCCATAGTGGTGGCTACCTAACCAAGGTTACTCTGTGTGGTAACCTTGGAATCACCAAGGTTTGCGCTCTCCTAATTTGATCGGACGAGGCAGGTGGGTCTCGTACGAGGCGGGAGGCCCCACACCCTCGGCCGAGGTGGATCATACCTAACGAGGTAATCATATACATTGTACCGTCGATGATTTTGAATACATACACACACACACATATATATATATATATATCTGCTTGCCAGAAGACATGATAAGGGGCATTTAGTATCCACAGATCTGCATGTCTCTTACGTATAGAAACAATACACCCGAGACTTCAGCAGCGTTCACCACGATGCAATCCCCAAGAAGCGCAGGGACAATGCCAGAGTACGAAACAGACTCGCCCGAAAAGCTCATGCAAGATAATACCAAGGCAGAACTCGGAACCAAGCAAGAAATTGAGCCTCATGGTTTGGAACACGTTCGTAGAGGATTTCTTCCGTGGTTATGTTATGTTCCAGCCTTGCAGGATCCGAGGCAGTATGCCCCGGGGATGAAGTGGGGTTTGACCTTTATTGTGGCGATGGGAGGGTTGGTGGTTCCGCTGAGTAGTGGTGTTTTGTTTCGTAAGGCCTCCTCTTCCCCGACCAGAACAAGAAGCTGATATGCTGGATTTCAAAAAGCCTGCCTGATAGAGATCGCCGAGGATATGCATACCACCGTGTCGGTGGTCAACTTGTCTATCGCTTTTGGCTCACTCTCTGTTGCACTCACACCCTTGTGGTGGTCATACCTCGCTGAGCTCTATGGCCGTCGACTGGTATACATATCGTCATTCTTCTTCCTTGGGATTTTCAACATTCTGGCTGCTATCAGCCCCAACATCAGCATGTTTATCGCTATGCGACTCCTTGGGAGCGCATCCAGTGCGTCCCTTCAAGCCGTCAGTGCCGGGACTATTTCAGACATATTCGAAACGCAAGATCGCGGCAAGGCTATGGGCGCGTTCATGCTAGGTCCTATGCTAGGGCCTATGTTTGCACCTATTATCGGCGGGGCACTCACGATGCGTTGGAGTTGGCGCAGCACACAGTGGTTTATGGTGATCTATGGCTGGGTCGTGTTTACTGTTATGGTCCTCTTCATGCCAGAGACAGCCAACAACCTCGAAGAGAACCGCCACGAGCAGCGAAAAGACGTGACCAGTCCCGGCAAGAAGGCCCTCTACTTCCTCCTAAAGCCCATGGAAGCCGCCAAGCTCCTCCAATACCCTCCCATCCTGATTACGGTCTATTACACCAGCATCGTCTTCGCTACGTACTATCTCATCTGCGTTTCCATTGAAGACACCTTTGCCCTGCCACCATACTCTTGGAGCTCTATCATTGTCGGTGTGGCTTATATTCCCGGGGGCCTGGGCTTACTCTTCGGTGCAATTATTGGGGGCCGCTGGCAGGATTATATTATGGCGCGGACCGCTCGAAAGGAGGGCCGATACAATGATAAGGGGGAGTTGATCCTCCACCCGGTCGATCGTCTGGGCGAGAACTGCCTCCTTGGGGGCATTCTCTTCCCCGGGGCCCTGTTGTGGTGGGGATGGGCCGCCGATAAGCATGAATTCTGGCTGGTCCCGGTAAGTTCATTCATTTCATCGCCTTCAGGCTTCAAGCGGGGACTGATCTACTTTATAATAGCTCCTCGGAAACTTCTTCTACGGGTTTGGCGGAATGATTCTCACCAACGTCACTATGACAATGTTGACAGAATTTACACCGAAGAACTCCACCATCGGCGTCGCGGTGAATAACCTCATGCGAAACAGTCTGTCATGCGTAAGTGCGATTATTGCGCAGCCGTTATTTGATGCGATTGGGACGGGTTGGTCGTTCACGGCGGTCTGTTTATTCTGTCTGCTTAGTGGGGTCCCCTTGATCCTTCTGCGGATCAAGCGGGATGAATGGAGTCGGCAGATGAAGGCTACGCTAGGGGGTGAGTAGGAGTTTCTGTGGAAGGTGAGGGGATGGGGAGGGGTTGCCACCCAGTTACTGGCTGTACTTAATTTCGTTGTTTGTGTTTGGCTACGCATGTGAGAGGAAAGAGGATTATAAAATGAAAACTGAGAAGTGATTACTAGGTGCTACCTACGCCCGTGCCCGCCTAGGTGGTTATGGTAAAGTGTCATCATGAAGTAAGAAGTAATAATATATAGCGAGAAACTCAGCTCAGATTTGATTTAAGAACCCACAAAACCCAGTTCTTCACTGCACTATCGTACTTGTCGTGAGTAGCTGGTGCTAAGTCGGGTTGGGCGATACGATTCTCTGATTGTTCCTCCTCCTTTTGGTACTCGAGAGAAGTTTGGCTCGTGCCTCAAGAATCTAGGGTGTGAAGTTACCGCCAGTCTAGGGGCAGGTTGAAAGAGACAAATATATTAAGTATATGTATGTACATAGTTGGGAGTGACAAATCGGGATCTATATTAATTAACAGAACCTCTTTAATCAAGACTTTCTTGGAGATATCGCCGGGTAAGATCGTTCTCAATCCATTGCTCAATTCGCCCAACGCTATCTCCGACAAGGTGGTCGTAGTTTGCACCTTGTGGGATAAACATGGACTGATGTGCCACGACTTCGTCCATGTCCGCCATTAATATCGCCTCCCAATGGGAGTTATTGTGGTGCCTCCAATGATGTGATGGTAAGAGGATGAATTTGCGAAGGTGTTGTTTATTAGGGTCTGAGGAGTCCGTGGTTGTGATGGAGCCATTCTCAGTTGAGAGGGAAATGCTTCCTGATAGGGACTGGTTCTCTATTCGGTCGGTTGAGATCGAGGTAGACAGTGCGGTACTTGCATGATCCACTAGCAGATGATCCTTGTCATCGTTGGCATTTTTGGCGGCCAGGGAAGAATGAGAAGTAGCGGACTTCAAGGGCTTTCGTTTAATTGTCATGTTGCTCATGGAAGTGGTTATTCCAGTTTCTTCCGAACCACTGGACGAATCTGAGTATTCGGGCGAGTGGACTTTCGTTGTGCATTCATCCAGATCAAGTTCGACCTTTCTTGTAGACCCTTCGTCTTTCTTTGTAGACTTTTTGGCCTTCTTTTCGGCTTTCTTCTCGGCTTTCCTTTCAGCCCTTTCAGCTTTCCTTTCGGTCTTTTCGGCTTTCCTTTCCGCTTTCGTCTTGCCGTTTCGCGGTTTGCGACCAGTGCTCGCGGTATAGTAATTGACAAATCGTACTCTCCAGGGGCTGGACTCGGCACCTTCCAACTCCATCAAGTGCCGATACCGCTGACGAAGTTCAGAATAATTATTGACACAACCAGCAAATGTCAAAGGTGATACTATGCGCTCGAAGATGGATCGGGAGAGATTGTCGGTGTTTTTGTTGACAAAATGCATAATGCCATCGAGGAAGCCACGATCAACCAGACGCACATCGTTCATAAATGGTGGGTCAAAGTTGGGGTTGGAAGGGGCGGGTTTGAAGGTTGTTTCCAAGACCAAAGATTCTTGTTCTGTCGCAAGTTTCTCCTCATCTGCCGGGTCTCTCTTAGGTATCAAGCCCATGGTTCCCGTTGCTACTACGCGGGGATGGATCCCTAGAAAGGGGACATCGAATCCCACTACTCCCAAAATCCGATGCTTTGCTCGCCCATCTTGGTGTAAGCGAGCGACGTCTGCAGCTAGGATTCCGCCGAGACTATGTCCCAACAAGATAACATCTAGGTCATCTGCCTCGTGCGGCAATAGCCTGCAAGTACCTCCATTAGCATATGTACCCAGTTACCAATCAAGGAAAATCGGGCTTTCTGTGACGCGATCACATACCAGGAACTGAATTGATCCACGGCTGTTTGGATCTCGCCTTGAGACTTGTATCTAGGATACATGCGGGTGTACACCACGTGTGACTCGGCCAACGAGCCGGTTAATAAATCATGAACATGCAACGGAAGGTCATGGAAGCTGGCTTCTGATCCCATGAAGCCATGGATATAAATCAGTAATAGCCTGCGCTTTTCTGTTGCCTGATACCCTCCTCCGGGCTGAGGCAGTGACAGGGTGGAATGAGAGCCATCGGCACAGGTACGAATATTCCCCTCCATCTCCATCTCCATCTCCATCGCTAGGAAGACGCTGAGATAGGAAAATGAACAACAGAATTCCCTTCTTGGGTACTCGCCAAGGTTCCAAGGTTGGAATGCGGGGGGCCTTCAATTGTCACCGAAGCTTACTAAGTCAAGGAATACTAGAGGGGTTGCCCCGGAGGAGAGATCATATCCACTTGGAATAGATGGAATAGCCTTGGAAAAAGTTGAAAATATCGAAGAGTAGTAAGAATAATTATTTGATGTCTCTTTGATGTATTTCCTCATTTTTAAGGCACTAAAATCTCTGCTTAGTTATCACCTGGGCAGTGTTATTCTTAGGTCGACCCGCCCGTACTCGTATTCATCGCCTAAACCACATCAACTCCACTTTGATATTTGTCCATATGGAGTGTCTTAACTGCACTTATCAACTCCAGTGCATCCACATCATATGTACATCCATATCCTTCATAACATAAAATCTCCGCAGAAAAGGTCTATACAGCTCCGCGTCCAACATCATGACTCGAGATAGCCAGAGGTTTATCCTGCACTCCCCATTCGCCCACTTCGATCTCTTGCGCGTAGAATCGAACCAGGACGCCAACGGTAACTGGACCAATGATGGTATTGAGAAGGATTGCCCAAACGCCAGTGATAAAGCCTTCATCACTAACGTATGGAGTTTCGTTGTGGCCAATTTCGATGATCAAAAGCCCAATCTCACCACGTGCTACCATGGCAGATCCTAAAAGTGTTGCGGCGAGCCAGGCCCGCTTCCACTTCTTCCCATTCTTTTGGTCGCTTTGTTTTTCGTGGGTTGTGTTATTGTTCTCACTATCTGGTATTCCCTGTCTTTTTCGGTCTTCATGAGACTCCTTTTTGTGAGATTTACTCCGGCGAGCGAGTTGCCAGACGGGGATCCAGATTCCGACGATACACTATGTAGATTTGTTAGCTCGATTGCTCAGGAACGATTTTGGGTATCTGCATACCTTTGCAAACGCCATCAAGAGGGTGTAAACCACCCCTCTCCAGATGCGTTTCCCGGTCCACAGCTTCAAGAACGGAATGGCGAATCCGATACTTCCGAAGAACAAAGGTTCCATCAAATACTGCTGAGGTCCTAACAGATATTTCTCAAAGGTGTGAACGAAAGTAGGACTTTTATCCGCCTCGCGCTCGCCTTCCTCGCGGCTCAGGACAACAAATGGTCCTTCGGGGTGCTTGCTCGGTATGTATGTAAGAAATACACCCGCCAGAAAGGCACCAAATAAGACGGATGTACCAGTGAAGCCAGCGATTGCAATGAACGCGGAAAGAACAAGGGTCATGAGGATGATGTTCGAGATATGGTCGAATTGCGCAAAGCGGTGTTCAATGAACTTTCGGAAAAAAGGTGCAAACACCCATTTGGTGACGATGGGCATTACGACGGCCATGCCTATCGATGCTACTATGGGACGCCCAATGAGCCAGCCCAGATTGACATCGTCCCCTTCAAGTTTGCCCAAGTCGCCAATCACACTATGCAGCTGTCAGCCTGATGAATCGATCACACACAATAAGTAACACACCTCAACATAACCAGTCCTACAACATCATCGATGACAGCAGCGCTCACCAGAACTGACCCGACCCGAGTCTCGGCGAGATTAACCGAGCCAGACGCAGAGCTGATTACAGCAAAGGTGGTACCTAATAGTTATTAGCGATTGAAATGCAGTCAACACAGAGCTTTCTGAGGAAATAGTTTACCGAGTGAAGTCGCCGAAAGAGATGCGCCAATGATGAAGGTCTCCACCGCACCTGGTCCAGGTTAGCTTTTTTGCCTGTAGGAATTGGGCAAGTACAACCAACCATATCCAAAACCAAGATAGAGCAAAAGGTATGAAAGACCAACGGGAAATAAAACCCCCGTTGCGGCACCAACCATACTCAAAGTGAAGTTCTGCTTAAGCAGATCTACACGAGTGCCAAGACCGCCTAGAATGCGATGACATCAGTATCCAACAAGCCAAGAACCGCGGTAGAGCAGCCAAGACGAAAACGTCTTTTTTTTTTTTTTTCTCCCACTGACCTTCGAAGATAATCAAAATTAAACCGACATATCCCAGAGTGATAAAGGTCTCTTGCCAGTTATGTTCAAGGATATTGGCCAACGGTACGCCGTAGATGATGCCGACGGCGATTTGACCGATAATTCCGGCCTGGATTACCTTGGCGGAAACCCATCTTGCCAGGGAAAGGAAAAAGAAGAAAGAAACGATGATAAGGATGTCGACAGCTATGAGAATTGATCAGTGAGGAGATGAGCAGAGATCAATTGGGATATGCTTGGGTACATACTTCCAGGTTCGTGGTATGGGAGGAAACCATTGGCCATGCTCGATGTGTTTTTTAAACTTGTATGTTATATGCAAGATTAAAGAACAAGGTTGAAGAACAAGATTGAAGAACAAGATTGAAGAATGAAAGATGTAAGGAGTGATCTTCACAGGCATATGCTCGGAGTGGATTCCCTGGAGCCAAGGTTGGATGACTAATTTACTGTGGGTACACTCTGGGTACTCTGGGCAGGGCGGATTACATCGTAATGTTGTGGTTACCTCTCCTACACTAATTACAATATAACATATATAACATATATATCATAGTTATATGGTATATCACAAGAGGAGGACTAGAATTTATATTGTCTATTGTCATAATTCATGGATTCTTACATTGGTTAGACATTGCATCTAATTCTAGCAGTATCGTGATCCTTGCTTTCAACCTTGACGTTAGGTGATGTCAACCTGTCAACCATGTGCTCGGGGTAATATTAAAATTGTTTATAGTCTGACATAAGTTTATGTACATTATAACTAACTATGGCACCGAAAGTGGAAAATCACAGCTATGATTGAACTATTGGCTCCTTTTACACTCCTATCAACATCCCTGGAATACACGTCAAAGCATACAACATAACAATCCAATAATAAAATCCCCCACAAAATCCAAGTCTGACAGCCTATGAACTCCCCCAAGGAACTAACCGGAAAGTAGTTAGGGTTCTCGTGTTAATCCTACGTGGCCCCCATATTAGCCCCATATTAGCGCCAACGTCGTAAAAATAGCATAGGCATCTCCCAACCCTCATGGATTTGAAGGTTCAATGTTTTGTCTTCATAATTATTTGGGTTGTTCGTAGTTTTCTTTGAGATACATATTAAGGCAAATGTATCAGTTCAAAGGGATCATACTAATATGAATATTTTTCATTGACGCCGAGTCTAGTGCTGCATGTCGAAGCACTTCTTTGTTAGAGCGTCTCATCTTGAGGGCAGTGCTTCAACCCCCCACCGGGGGCTGTTGAGTGTGTGCTGTAGTTCGTACATTTTTCTGTGATGTTCATTTTTTATTCTTCCAAAAGTTTTGGAAATTACACATTTCTTGTTACTTTCCCAACTTCTCTACTCTCAAACCTGGACATATATTGAATTCTATTTTGTACAAAGACATCGGGGAGTTACCTAAAGCGATCACTGAATGGGAGAGTTCTCGCACCAGGGTATTTTGTATTATCTTTCGTGGCGGTTCTTTGTCTTCGCTTTGGAGCCTTCACATAAGACAAAAGTGTCCCAAGAATCCATTTTCAACCCACCTTGTCTGCGATGGGGAGACTCTTGGGATTCTTGCCACTTGCAATGCCGGGCCCTGGACTGGAGAATGCAGAAACGTCAAGCTGGGTGAATCCAGCAGCGATAGAGACAGCCACAGGCATCTATCCTGGAACGGTTTTACCGCCCTCAGTCAGCGAGTTGACCACAAACCCAGCACCAAGTGAGAGTCTGGTGGATGCAGCAAGCTCACAATATCCATCACTATCATCAACACCAACACCAACACCAACACCCTGGACCACACCGTCAATTTCAACCTCATCCTCTCCCACATCCACCCAAACAATATCAACAACCATAACTACAACCTCATCCTCATCCTCATCCTCAGAAACAACCTCAGCGACCAGCAACTCAACCGCTTTCTCCGGCGGCCCGTCAAAAACAACCAAAATCGCCATAGCAGTCCCAGTCTCAGTAATCGGCCTAGCTCTAATCCTAGCTCTACTATTCTTCCTCTCCCGCCGCCGTCGACGCCACGAACAGGAACGCAAATTACGCAATACGCTACCACCGCCCTACGATATAGCAACATGCCATCGAAGCGCGGTATCAACGCAAGAGCTAATGATATCACCCAAATCCTCAACCCCAGAACCAAGACGTTCACTCTCAACCCCAGCAATGTCTTCAGCGCCGATGTCCATGCCCTTGCCCATTCCTCAGATCCCGGTTATCAGCATCTCACCCTCGACGGAAAGTCGGGGTCGAACGCCCAGTCCCAACCGCAGTCCTGGCTTGAGCTCTGTGCACCGCATGTCTATGACTCGTGGACCTGATGACTCGGAGGCGGATATTGGTGTTGCGGTTGCTGTTCCGATGGATCAGAGGCGGAGTGCTACGGAGCAGGATTTTAGGGACCGGGTTGCGTCTGTTACGTCGTCAAGGGGGCCATCGCGGTTGACTAGGATGCCGTTTGAGGACTTTTCGGATGATGAAGTTGGTATTGGGATTGCTGTTGGTGGGTCGGATGATGATTATGATGATGATGCTGTTTCTGATGTGTCGGGTTTGGATGGGCGGAGGAGGGAGAGGGACTTTGATGAGGTTTCGGTGGTGTCGTCGTTCGATGAGGTGTCGCCGATAGGTGAGCAGGAGGGGAGGCGGTTTCAGGGAGTTTGACGGTGTCAGTAAAGTGATATGATATAATGAAGCTAAGCTCGGTCTAGAGCTTCTTCGATGTAGTTTTCCTTTTGGTCTACTGGCGTTTTGGGTGAGTTCAGTGAGTCCAGTGAGGGGTTCATTGTAATACATAGGCTACAAGTTGGGTAGTTATGTATTTCAGACTATGTACGTACTTGAATACTATGACTGGAATGAGATCTTTAACCACAGTGCTAGTCATAGTATTGGAAACCTTGAGGTATATTGCAGTGTGAAAATGGACTGTTGGCGATAACCATTATTCCGATTATCTTCCACCGCCGTAATCAGCCTTGTGAGCTGCGGCCTTTCCGTGCGTCAATTCCCGAAGAGCCATGGTGGCGTACTGGCTTGATCCCAACTGGAATTTCAGAACAATCGCCAGTTTATCAGCTGCGGTCTCATCGGCCATAGTGGTATCGGCATTCTCATCCTCCGACTTCAGCTTTTGTAGCTCCGTCTTAACGAACTGCTCATCATCCTTGGAATAAAGCTTGACATCAAATGAGTAGTTGTTTCCCACCATGCGGCTGAAAACCTTGCGGTACCCGCCGCTAAGACTGATGTCCTTCCACTTGCGGCGCATGTTGGACGGGTCAAGGCCACCACCCTGCTCGCTTTCCATGAAGCGACGATAGAATTCCTTCATTTCGTTTTCGGGGTAGATAATGTCATATCCAGGCTGGGGAAGCACCAGGTCAAAGATGGTGTATTTGCCGCTGGCTGCCTCTTCGGCTGTCAGAGCACGTGCCCGCATGAACATGTCGTCGGCCGCAACGGCACTGTCATCGCCCTGAGGAACAACAATAATTTCACCGTCGGCATCGACAGTCTCGGGAGCCTCGACAACAGAAGCAACTTCTTTGTCGCGGTGCTCTTGGATAATAACGAGATCGCCTTCCACCACTCGGTCGCCGTAGAGTCGCCAGCGCTCACTCGTAGCAAAGTTCCAGACAAGCGACTGGTACGCGTGCACGTACATCAATCGCAGGTTCCGGGGGATAGATTGCAGCGCACCCAAATTATCCTTGCGGTTTCTTCCGAGGTGGCGGATCAGACTGTTTTCAGCAGAGAACTTGCGCGGCATCTTTTGCAGAGCCTCGTTGACGTTACCGCCGGTCTGGAAGATATTAATCGCCATGGCGCGATCCTTATCATCAGTGCTGATGTTAGCAGTAGACATTTTCCCCTCCATTGCCGCCTGAAGTGATTCAGGGGCATATTGCAGAATAGCATCGCATGCGCCCTTGAAATCCCCCTGCAGCATCTTGACACCGACAATGTCCGTTCGGGTTGCAAAGGTTCCAAATCGCTGGAGACCGTAGTAGTTGAAGTATCCGCGCTGGTAGAGGTTCTTCAAAGAGGTACCGACGACCTCGGATGCCTTGGCAACCGCAGCCTGGGGATCACTCAGGCTCACGCCGGGAATTTCAGCGTCGCGCAGAGTAATCACAAACTCATTGCCCTGCAAATCTCCAAGTTCCAGGCCTCGCTTGCGGTACACGAAGTCTCCAATGTAAGCATTGCGAAGATCCGAGTTCACTTCTGCAAGGCGATCAGCGTGAACGCGGACAGCACAGGCACGCTGCACGGTCACACCCCGTCTATCCTTGGTTCCGGCAAATTGCAAAGACTTGGGGTTCATCCTCAATGAGCGAGCGATGTAGCCGATGACTTCCATTGTGTCCTTGTTCTCCTTGTAGATGGTGAAATGCAGGTATGGCCCGCCGAGTTCTTCCCAGTTTGTTCGGTGACCCTGGATCCGGCCATTAGCTCGTCCTGCGGTCGCACCGCGCTGGAAACGGTTGTTCGCCGCGGTAATTGCCATGTTTCCATCTGCGTCGGTGGAAGACTCTAGCTGAGAGTTGAAAATGCGACGGATAGCTTGGTGGATCTTGGTGCGAAGGTCGCGATCAGACACGGCAACGGTGACGTCTCCAAATTCACTGGGTCGGCCCTTTGGCTTAGCCATAGCGATCTTGTGGAGCGCAATTATTCCAGCAGCATTCTGATCGCCAAAGTACTCCTCCAGAAGAGTGTGGTCCTCTTCCGAAACCTTGAACTCAGCAGGCTTTTCCGCATCCTTGACCGGGGTACTCTGAATTTGCTCCGTAGCCTGGGTTTCCACCTCCGGGGCTTTTGGCGCAGTGGCAAGCTCTATCGTGGTAGGCTCAGACTTTTTGGGCTTGCTGGGCGTGTCGAGACTTGGGAGGTGGACAACTTCGCCGGTGGTCATGATCTCATTGACCATGAAATCTGTGTATCTGGGCATAATTATTAGTGGAATCCTTAACTAGAGGAACAGGAGAGCTCACCTCTTTTTCAGGATACCCGAAAATCCCTCAGTGTTGTTGCTCACAAACTCCGTGATACCGACCTCGCCTTCCTTCAGAGCCTGCGCATCAGAGACTGTGGTGCTCAGAGTCTCAGTTGCACCATCAACGGCGATAGCGACTTCAGTTGAGCCCACATCTTCGGTCTTCTGACGCTTGCGCGGAGACTCCACGATATCTGGCTTCTCCATATTGTGTCAATCGTTCGTAATGGGTGGGGTTGGATGGAGAAGGTTGAACTTCAGGAACTTTTCCTGACTGATTGGGTTTAGCGCGACATAGGGCCAATAGGTTCTGCCAGCTGGATATCCACCAATAAAAGCTGAGGGGTAAAGGGCGGTATGGCAAATAAAGGAGGTGGGTATGATTGATTGGGAAGGCGGTAGCAGGATGGGTGTTAACATTAACATGTAGCCGTGCCAAACGCCCAACACACCTTCGGGGTGTTGGGCTAGTTACAGTACAACATGACTAAAACCCCGTTATAACTAACGATACCCGATTATAATCCGGTGCTTGACTTTACTACGAACCTAACGATTCATAATTCCTCGTTATATCTAGGGCTTAATCGGCTATTTTAACCCCCGGGACCGATTTCAACCAATAAAAATGCCTTGCCAATCCATTCCAACCTCCCATGAACAATTAACTGCTTCCAAAAAGGACTCTCAATATCGCTTGATGGTTATTCTAGGTCTAGATACTACTACTAACTAGTTAGCAGTAGTAGTATTCAGTCGCTAGTTAATGAGATATCTTCTGATATACTTATTATACAGCCTTGGGTACCAAATCCAATGGATATTAAGGACTTTCTTTACCCAATTGATGAGTTTATACAAGGTAGTATTGATAGTATTGATATTATTGTACTAAGCGAGTTCTTTGGAGAGGTTGATGAGGATGATATAGTGGTTGGGGAGCCCTAGATTCAACACTATGAAGCTATTCAAGCTTTAAACCCCCTTCGGTTATATGAGGAGCAGTAGGAACAGGGTGAACCCAAGTTAATTACTACTCTATATAGACATGAGAGGTTAATTGAAGCAAGGAGATTAGGAGGGCAGAAACAGAGTGATGTTAGGAGCTTTTTTGGGGCTTAAATTTGTATGTAAACCAGATATATATATTTAATATATGGCACCTTGGTTTAACGATTACTTGGATCTAACGATACTTTTTCCGTGTCAGTATTACATACGAAACTGCTAGATATCTACCACTGAGGGGTCAACATCAACTTACAGCCTAAGGCCACCACCACATGCTTTCCCCCTTTTAGGTCCAGAGGATATTGGCCAGCGTCATCTACGTTGTCTAGGCAGAGACCGTATTTAATAAGCAGATTGATCATAGCATCAATCCCACTGAAGTCAAGGAAGTGCATCAACTGGCACTCATCCAAGTAATCCCAGTTGGATAGCTCGTCCTTAATAACCTAGCGGCTATACCGCTACGTAGGTACTACGTCAACTTCCCGTTTAGGTCTGACTCACCCGTTATAGAGTGACTTCCCGAGTCCAATTTCGAATCTCAAGATCCTCTAAACATAAACCTCCGATCTCCAGCCATAATCACGGATTCCATAAACAAATCAATGGAATCCCTCTACACTGAACCGGATACGATACGCATTCTTAAGAATCGGAAACACGAACTCACAGCGAATTTGCAAACCGCTCGAAAGCCCTGGAAGGCACGTGGGTCATTCGACCTGAAATTTTGGAGCCAAGCGGTTAAGATAGAGAAAATCAGCTTGGAGAGATCAGATGTGGTTTTGTTTCTCACTGTTTCTTCGCTTTTCTTTCACTTCACTTTCACTTCTCTTTCATTTTTCTTTTCATCTCAGATCATCAAACATGTCGCAATCTAAAACATCCGACTCAGATTCTACACAACCTCGCATCCTCCACGAAAACCTACCCTTTACACCCCGCCCACCAATCACTACCGAGGAGAGAGTTGCTGTACTTAGCCGCTTTCTTGTCCCCGGCGATTCCCTTTATATGCCAGAGCAGGAGAAGAACATCACAGCCCTAATTAGCCTTTACAAAGAAGGAAAGATCACAGTGAATGACGAGGTCTTTATGGTCGACGGACGTATCGCGAGCAGAGAAGAATACATCGCAGTGAAAAAGCCATCCTTCTGGGAGGTCAGCTTGATTTAACTTCTGTCTATCTTATCGATGATCGCTAATATGAAATAGCGTGGCACTTTAACCCACTATCAACTAGCACAGAAAGCCAGCTACGGACATGGCTCTTGTCATGAGGTAATCCCCCTTTTTCTTATCCATTTTCTTTCCGATTATCTAAACAGGCTTGTGGCTTCAGCTTAAAGCTCGTATCCCGTCTTCCGCTATGGGAAGGTGGTGATGGTACCTGTATGCGAATCAATATGCAGCCTTATAATCTTCCAGCATGAGATGGAGCCGTGGTCGTATTCATCACGTTATTGCTAGGTCCCACTTCACAATGAACACCATTCGCAATTACCAGCATATTATTTTCTTTCACTATAAGTTAACATCCAGTTTCCCATTAGGCAGCCCTAGAAAGCAGCGCTTGTACACACCTGGGTACCCACTAGTTAACTATGTAAACTATGTAAATCAATTACCAGATTAATCTTACACGTGACCAAGTGGGGATATTGTCGTCACAGCTTCCCCAACCCCTTGGCAACTGTCATCCCCGCACTCCCGAAGTCTGCAGCATAATGAGTGGTTTACGCAATACTGTGAAGGGTGGCTGGCACCCTGAAGGCAAGGAAGGTGGAAAGGAGAGCTGGCGCGGCGATTTCAAAGGCATCAACCAAGTGGTAAGCCCACCCCTCGCCTCTCTGAGACTCGCAACTCGGCTGGCCATTGGCTAACTTATACTTGATATTAGGCTGGGTGGATGGGAAAGGGCAAGGAGGGTGAATCCTCCGGTTCTGGTTCTGGCTCTGGGCAGACCTCCGAATCACAAGGGGGTATCAGAAGCTCAGTGGTAAGCCTTCCCCTCACCCCTCTCGGACTCGCACCTCGGCCATTGATGCTAACTTATATTCGCTATTAGTCTGGGTGGATGGGAAAGGGCAAGGAGGGTGGATCCTCCGGTTCTGGCTCTGGGCATGGCTCCTCGTCACAGGGGGAATCAGGGGCCAAGTGGTAGGATTACACCTCGTGTCTTCATGACTTGTCCATTGGTATTAACGTTTGCTCGTTTTTAGGCAGGCTGGATGGGAAAGGGCAATGAATCCAACCCCAACCGCTCCGACCATGTCTCGCAACCATTGTCAGCCCTCAAAGACCCATCTTCCTTTGGACCCCCTCCCAAACATATCAATTACCATGGAGCAGCCGCGGTGCCAGACCAGACAACCCCCGACCACCGGGGTGTAGGAGCTCCGCTGTCCCAGGATCAGATTAACGCCCAGGATTCCCACCGACAGCAAGTAGCCGAAGCAGAGGAGGAACATTTCCAAAAGTCTGCCCCACCTCCGGTCCCGTATCGCGTCGACACAAGCGGCCTGTCTACAGACAATCTCCCTCCACCACCAGTGCGGCGACTAGACTCCACAAGTTCCGCCACAACAAGCTCGATCTCAAAGTCAAAGCCGCCAAAGCCCCCGCCACGACTTCCTGCCCGCAATGGATCCCCCAGCTCCGATCCGCCCCCCGCTTATTCCACCTCACCGGTACTCTCCCACGATTATATCAATCAAGATGCTACTTCCCGCCTAGCAAACGCCGGCATCTCGGTTCCTGGATTTGGGATTGGTCAGGAGAAATCATCGTCGCCTGCACATACGCCTGTCAATGAGCTGCAGTCGCGCTTCTCTCAAATGAATACATCGGGATCTCCATCGTCACCCACCCCGCCTGCCCAGGCCTCGGCGAACGCGAGCACGTCTTCTCCCCAGAACTTCCGCGAGCGCCACGCGGGCTCGATCGATTCTGGAAAGCAGAAATATGGTGACTTCCGCGAGCGTCATGCGGATACCATCGACTCGGGAAAACAAAAGTATGGTGATTTCCGCGAGCGACACGCAGATACCATCGATTCGGGAAAGCAGAAATACGGTGATTTCCGCGAGCGCCACGCGGACTCGATCGATTCAGGCAAACAGAAGTTGAGTGGCTACGCGTCGCGGTTCACTGGCTCTTCTCCAGCAGCGCCTAGCCCACCGGCCCGGCCCGCGTCGAATACTTCCAGTATGAACTTGGAACCGGCGGAGTCCGCACGGGGCACATCCTCTGTCCAAGATTTCCGTGAACGCCATGCGGACAAGATCGATATGGGCAAAGAGAAGTTGGGTGGAGTCACATCGCGCTTTAACACATTTGTGGAGGACCGTAAGTTCTCGGCCGATGCCAACAAACGGATCCCACGCCCACCCCCCACCCCCCACCTTCTCGTCCTATCTCCATGGGCCAGTCGAACTCTCCAGCGGGGTCACCCACGGATCCCGATATTCAGACTCAAGCCCAGCGCAAGAAGGCCCCTCCGCCACCTCCACCCAAGCGAGCTGAATTTCGTGCGTCCCCTGTTGACGCTTCGTCGCCATCACTTCCGGGACCTCCTCCCGTTCCCCATGGCACCAAGCCCCGGTAAGGATTGTACTTTTAACCGTGTGTATGTGTACGTTGCGCATTCCTGGCGTTGATGGGTGTTTTTGCTTTACAACATAAACAGGAGGGAAATCGAACCAGTTTGTCATGGTGACGACTCGTGCATATCCTCTTTACCCTGTACAATGTACAATAGTTCCAACAGTAAACCGAGGATGCATGTGATCCGATTAGGCTGTTGTATATCTGAGGTCACCTGGGGTTTTAACTCTCCAAGAGATCAACCTTGGAAACACAAGAAATGTTCCAACGGATCTCATAACTTTGTTCAGCTGACTCAGCGGGGTCCCGGCTCTTCCTGCTGTACAGAACAGGGCTGTATGTCCAAATGTTATACAGTCCAGAGTACGGGGTATGTATCTTGAACAGAACTTCCGGTTTTAATTTTCTTTTTTTTTTAAAAAAGAAAAAGAGAATTAATTACACTAATTGTGGCCAGTGCAATACGCTCATCGCCAATGTTGGCAATTCCTGTATGGAATTGAGAGACAGAGTTTCACGATTACATGTCTATTTCGAGATACCCCATACATATTTCACCTGGGCACTCAATGGTTTACCCTTCTAGGCAAGTGGCGACATCTAACCTCGGCACGTTCAATGGCCAAGCCTTGGAATTCCCAACAAACTAAACGCGAGTGGATCGAGATCGTCGGCCATTGCCCTTGTTGAGAATTTTAAAGAGCAGTTTATCGGGGAAGACCCACTGCACTTCAACAACTTCAACCGTTTTATTCTTCTTCCTCTTTTTTCTTTTTTTTTTCTTTTACTTATTTAGAACTCACATATCTTTTTCTCTTACTCCGTATATTCTTTTATATCATCTTTTGTCGAGTTGACGCGTTGAATTGAACGCTTTCGCGTGGCACTTCACCATGCACGATTTCAATGTGCCCACCAAGTTTGGCCAGGCAATTGTTCGCATTGCCTTTCCTCCTGCCTCTCTCCTCGCCTTCCCTCCTCGCGAGCTCCCAGTGACCATCCCCGCCCCTCACGTTGATTCCCCGACATGGAAGCAGCCCTTCAACATCCCGAACGATCTCTACAACCAAGTGCTGGACGTCCGGCTACCAATCACAATCGCGAGTGTCTATGCGATCATTGTGGTCCTGATCAATCGTATCAATAAGAGCCGCGGATATAAGCCATACGCGTTCAGCAACACCCGTTTGTTCAAGCTGTTCGTCATTCTCCACAATGTCTTCCTAGCTGTGTACTCCGCGTGGACCTTCGTAGGCATGTTCCAGGCATTCAAGGGCTCTTTCCCGGATAGTGACGACCCTCACGGATTGGTTGGAGTGGTGGACTCACTGTGCAAGATCAATGGACCCCGCGGTTACGGCAATGCCGCTATCTATAGCCCCGTCACGGATAAGTGGTCGATTCCCAATCCCACCTTCCACCTCACCAACGGCATGCCAGACCCCACGGATGCCGGCCGTCTGTGGAACAAGGGATTGGCTTACTTCGGCTGGTTCTTCTATCTGTCCAAGTTCTACGAGGTTGTAGATACCGCGATCATTCTGGCCAAGGGCAAGAAGAGCTCTACCCTACAGACCTACCACCACGCAGGAGCTATGATGTGCATGTGGGCTGGTATCCGCTACATGGCAGCTCCCATTTGGATCTTTTGCCTGGTTAACTCGGCTATTCATGCTATGATGGTAAGTCGGAACAATCGCATTGCTTTTTTGATTTGTTAAGCGAAGTGACTAACTTTTCCCCCACTTTAGTACACCTACTACACCCTCACTGCTCTCCGCATTCGCGTGCCTAACGCCATCAAGCGCAGCTTGACCACCATGCAAATCACCCAGTTCGTCTTCGGAACAAACATGGCCGCCGCCTACCTATTCGTCCACTACACTATCCCCTACCCGTCCGGTAGCGCCGCATTGGAACAGCTGACCAACGCCGCTTCCGTCGCCGCCTCTGCCACCGCCGAGGTTGGTTCGATCTCTTGGTTGAAGAAGCTGGCATTCCGGGCTGCGGGCGCAGAAGGACTTGCCGAGAACGTGGGAACCTCTTTCCACCCTGCCCCTGCCCCTGTCCAGCAATCCGGCTATTCCCAGCAGATGATGACTTGTGCGGACACCACCGGTCAGGCATTCGCCATCTGGCTGAACGTCTCCTACCTCCTTCCCCTCACCTACCTCTTCGCACGCTTCTTCGTCCGCTCCTACCTGAACCGCAAGGACCCCGGTGTGAAGCAGCCCACGCACATGGAAGCCGCTGAAAAGGCCGGCATGGATGCTCTGAAGAGTCTGAGCCGCGAGATTCGCAAGGCTGCCATTGAGGGCGAGAACAGTGAGGTTACCACCGACGATGAGGTTCTCAAGGCTCAGGTCCGGAAGATCTCCGAGAAGGTCACTCCTGACTCACCGATCCGCACCCGCTCGGCTGCTGCTTCCAAGGCAAAGACTGCCTCGGCCTCAGTCAGCCGGTCAGAGTCCGAAGAGGACTTCGCCAAGGTTCCCGCTAAGAAGGGGGCTAAGAAGCAAAAGGCCGAGAAGGAGTCTCCCTCCAGCCCGGACACCAAGGGCCAAAACCCATTCGGGGTATTGGATAACAATGCTTAAATTTGCAACCCTAGAAGTGTTGGCATATTCCTATACCGCATAAATTTGGAGTTTGGGGGGTTTATAAAAACTATTTGATATTCGGCTATGATATTCCATAGCTTTGTTTTTGTGTTTCATCGTTTCTTCCCCCGCACAAGCACGGGACCCTTGCCGATTCGGCCCGGTGTATATTCGGGGAAATGCCTTCTCCCCGGACTTTCCCCTTCCCCCCGGACTTGGCTATCCCGTGTTTGATAGTGACTCAAGGTGGATTTGCTTTTACAGCGTCCTTGTATTCTCAGCCTTTATTTTTATTTTTCGGCTGTACGAGTATATATCATTTTTGGATATATCTTTTATCACAGACCCGTTTATTGTGTAATGAAAAGACATCACTCTAAAAAGAAAGACAGTCCAGATATTTTCAAGTTACATGTGTCTATGTTGTATGTATGGAACTACCTATTTACCTCTGTACTCCCCCATCCGGGGAAATCCCGTTGGAGGAAAAACCACCAGCCAAGCACCGGACGGAGATTGCATATTTTCCAGGACGAAAGAGGAAATTAACACCCGCGCCTTGAACCCTGACCAACGCCGCGTTTACTCTAACATCAAGTGGCTGATCGAGAAAATAACTATAAATTAACCATAACCACTCCGGCAATGCTCAAGAGCTTTTGTCAAAGAGTGGTCCACGACCCAAAATGACGCGCATCTTCAATTTCCTGCTAGTCCTCCTAGCGTGTCTTGGGGCCTCCACAAAAGCAGACGACCAAGCCGTCACGCAATGGCCACTACATGATAACGGTATAAACACCATCGTGCAATGGGATCACTACAGCTTCCAAGTAAACGGTCAACGCATCTTCATCTTCTCCGGCGAATTCCACTACTGGCGCATCCCTGTACCAGCCCTATGGCGTGACATCCTTGAGAAAATCAAAGCAGCCGGCTTCACAGCCTTCGCATTCTACTCCAGCTGGGCATACCACGCACCGAACAACGCAACAGTAGATTTCTCAACCGGCCCCCGCGATATCACCCCAATCTTCGAGCTCGCCAAGGAATTGGGCTTGTACATCATCGTCCGGCCCGGCCCGTACGTCAATGCAGAAGCCAATGCTGGCGGCTTCCCGTTGTGGCTGACAACCGGTGACTACGGTACCCTCCGTAATGATGATACCCGCTATACAAATGCTTGGACACCGTACTTTACCGAAGTGACCGAAATCACTAGTCGCTACCAGGTGACTGATGGCCATAACTCTATCGTTTATCAGATTGAGAATGAGTATGGGAATCAGTGGCTCGGTGATCCTTCCCTACGTGTGCCGAATGAGACGGCCATTGCTTACATGGATCTGCTTAAGGCCAATGCTCGTAAGAATGGTATTACGCTGCCGCTGACCGTAAATGATCCTAATATGGCCACGCACTCGTGGGGTAAGGACTGGTCTGATGCGGGTGGGAATGTTGATGTCTCTGGTTTGGACTCGTATCCTTCGGTATGTGACTTTCCATATCTCCGGTGCGAGAGTAGATGGGAAAAGGAAGAGAAGGAGGAATGAGAACTAATTGAATTTGTGTATTAGTGTTGGACTTGCGATATCAGCCAGTGTACCTCCACTAATGGCGCATACGTCCCCTTCCAGGTTCTGGAATACCACGATTACTTCCAAGAATCACAGCCCAGTATGCCCGCTTTCATGCCCGAGTTCCAGGGCGGCTCGTACAACCCCTGGGGTGGGCCAGAAGGTGGCTGCCCCGGTGATATCGGCGATGACTTTGCCAACCTGTTCTACCGCTGGAACATCGGGCAGCGTGTGACAGCAATGTCCTTGTACATGATGTTTGGTGGTCAAAACCACGGTTCTATGGCTGCGCCAGTGACAGCTACCAGCTACGACTACTCGGCGCCGATCTCAGAGGACCGGTCTATCTGGTCGAAATACCATGAGACTAAATTGCTGGCGTTGTTCACTCGATCTGCGAAGGATCTAACCATGACGGAGTTGGTTGGTAATGGAACGCAGTATACTGATAACTCCGCTGTCAGGGCTTATGAGCTTCGGAATCCGGAGACAAATGCTGCGTTCTATGCTACTTTCCACTCGAACACTTCCATCTCGACGAATGAGCCATTCCATTTGAAGGTAAATACTTCGGTGGGTGTTCTGACCGTCCCCAAGTATGCCAGCACCATTCGCTTGAATGGACATCAGTCGAAGATCATCGTGACGGACTTCACCTTTGGCTCGAAAACTCTGCTGTACTCCACAGCCGAGGTTCTGACATATACTGTCTTCGATAAGAAGCCTACATTGGTTCTCTGGGTTCCGACTGGCGAGTCTGGCGAGTTCTCTGTCAAGGGAGTTAAGAAGGGTTCTATCAAGAAATGCCAGGGATGTTCGCGGGTCAAGTTCATCAAAGAACATGGCGGTCTGACGACCTCGTTCGCGCAATCCACCGGCACGACTGTGCTGGAATTCGATGATAGTGTTAGAGTTATCGTGCTTGATAGAACGTCCGCGTATGATTTCTGGGCTCCTGCACTCACAAATGATCCATTCGTACCTGAGACAGAGAGCGGTTCGTTCTCTTTATTATTCCTCCCATGCTCAAAAGACTAATTATTGCTGCAGTTCTCGTCCAGGGCCCGTATCTCGTCCGCGATGCTAATCTGTCCGGATCCAAGCTTGCGATAACCGGCGACGTCGTCAACGCAACAACACTGGACGTCTTTGCACCAGATGGTGTCAAGTCTGTGACCTGGAATGGAAAGGAGGTTCACATCCATTCGACCGAGTACGGGAGTCTCAAGGGCTCACTCGATGCACCGAAAGCTATCAACCTGCCGACATTCACTTCATGGAAATCGAAAGACAGTCTACCGGAGCGGTTCACCGATTACGATGACTCAGGTGTGGCGTGGGTTGGTATGTTACTCACTAATATATTGGAATCACACGAAGAAAATTAGCTGATCTTGCAGATGCCAACCATATGACAACGCTCAACCCGAGAACCCCGACAAGTCTACCCGTCCTCTACGCCGACCAATACGGCTTCCACAACGGCGTCCGTCTGTGGCGCGGATATTTCAACGGAACGGCGACGGGGGCCTTCATCAACGTCCAAGGAGGATCCGCATTGTAAGTACCACAACCACCATCAAAGCAACATAGTGCTAACGTGCTACTTACAGCGGGTGGTCCGCCTGGCTAAACGGCGAGTTCATCGCCTCCTACCTCGGAAACGCAACAGCATCCCAAGGAAACCTTACCTTGTCATTCAAAAACGCAACCCTGCACACCGACACGCCAAATGTCCTCCTAATCGTCCATGACGACACAGGCCACGACCAAACAACCGGCGCCCTCAACCCGCGCGGAATCATGGACGCAACCCTCCTCGGCTCGGACTCGGGCTTCACGCACTGGCGTCTAGCCGGCACCGCGGGCGGGGAGTCGGACCTCGACCCGGTGCGCGGCGTGTACAACGAAGACGGACTATTTGCCGAGCGCGTTGGGTGGCATCTACCCGGCTTTGACGACTCAGCTTGGGGAGAGGAGGAATCCACTACGGATTCCACAAAGTCTGTCCTTAGCTTCCAGGGTGCGACGGTTCGCTTCTTCCGTACTACCATTCCCCTTGATATCCCTGCGCACACTGATGTGTCTATTTCGTTTGTTCTTTCTACGCCGGCTGGTGTGACGACGGAATATCGGGCTCAGTTGTTTGTTAATGGGTACCAGTATGGAAGGTATAATCCTTATATTGGAAACCAGGTTGTTTATCCTGTTCCTGTGGGGATTTTGGATTACACCGGGGTGAATACAATTGGAGTGGCGGTTTGGGCGCAGAGTGAAGAGGGGGCTAGTATTGGGATTGACTGGCGGGTTAACTATCTTGCTGATAGTTCGTTGGATGTGGCTTCGATGGATACTAAGGATTTAAGGCCTGGGTGGACTGAGGAGAGGGTGAAATATGCTTGAGTTCAATGGTTTAAAAGGTGGCTGTGGTGAAATGATTTAGATCTACATATCTAGCATCCAACGTGTTATACAGTAAATATCATGAATATGTTACATAGTAATTGTTATATTCTTCATATCCATCTATTACGGATCCTAGTCCAGCAGGCATACTATAGTCTTGAGCCAGATCCCTTCATTAGTTTCTAAAAGATAGAGCCCACGTAGGCAAATCCAAACTTGATCCAATCTTAAACCAAAAAGCGGAAACCACGACGGCTTCCTTCGCCAGGAACAGCACCCTCGACCTCCTCACCGCGATCAAGCTTCTTATTGAGACGCACAAGCATGAATCGGAGCACCGTTGCAGAGACAATGGCAATAAAAGCCGTTGCACAGTTGACAGACATGGCAGGAACTGGGAGAGTGTTAGTTATGAGTTGATATTGCTAGAAACAAAACCAGCCGTAGAGAAACACTTACTAAATCTTGGAGCCTGAGAGTCAGGATACATATAGCTAGCATAGATACTGCTGGCATTGCTAACACAGTTAATAGCGGCCAGAGCAGCGGCACGCTTCGCAGCCGGACGAGGCAGGGTATTTGAGATCCAGCCGAGGGCGACAACGTAGCCGGAGTAGAAGGACGGCACCATGAGCATCATCGCCACATAGCGGGGTGCAGTGGCTGTGGTAGTAGCAGCAATAATAAATGCCACAACGGAGATGTATAGCGGTGCGGTGATATGGAAATACCGCTCTCCGGTACGGTCTGCATGCCATGCGTTACCAAAGGCGCAGATAACGGCCAGGCAGTAAGGAGGGGCTGTCAGGAGTAGAGTCTCGATGTTGCCGTATTGGAGTGTTTTGACGACTGTTGGGAAGAAGTTGGTGACTGAGGCAGAGGAGACAATGCAGAGGATCATGAGCATCAGGACCCAAGTCTTGATGTCTGTGAGGGCAAGCTTAGCTCCATGCAGGAAGCTCTGCTGCTCGCTGTCGACCCAGTCGTCTTCGCCGATATCTTCTTCCAGACGCCACG